GTATTATTTTTTAACTTCAGCTTGAATGCTGCATATCATTTCCCTTAGAAGAAATTACATTAGCCAGGAAGGATGATTGGACATGTGAGTATAAAACCATACATACCAGGTTGGTAGATCCTAGCTTACCCTAATGTGTGACCTGGAGAGGTGACATGGCACTTCTCTTAACTTTGCTGTTTTGTAAAATGAACTAATAAACATATTGACCTCATAGTATCATTGGAAGAATTAAACAAGATTATTAAGTTCTTACTTAGTCCTTTAGACACTGCATAGACTTAGCACTCTATTTCTACCATCAATACCACTGGTATCATTATGTATTTCTGACAGTCCCATGAGCCAGGGACAGTTAGTATCACCATTCTGTAACAAGAACAGTCTATGATGGCCTAAAGCCATATTATTAATAAATGACGGTAGAGGACATGAGGTCCCCGTGCTCACAGATATGCACTAGGGAAACCAGAAGTGTTAAATACACATGGTGTCTCTTCAAAGAAAGGGATGTATAGCCTGTTTCCATCCAGAGGGCTAGGGATGGGTGTGGTTAGTAGGCTGGTGGCCTCTGCATTATCTATATGCCCAGGCTACATCTGGATCCCTCAGACTCTTAGAAACAGGAGTGGAGATGACCTCTGAGATTATCTGTATAACCAAGACCACACCAGATCTTTCCCCAGACCCTTAAGACATCATGTATAGTCAATCTACAAAACCTATATTTACGGAAGAGGTCACATGAACTTTAAAAAGAACTTTAATGTAGTTATGACTTAAGCTTTATTGGATGCATGAGATTGAGTTAATTGACACCAGAAAACATTATTCTAAATTGTAATATACTTAAATATGCCTAAAATAAATTGCCTAGTGTCAGACTAAAAGTTTGAGTAAATACTGGCTACTGAGTTGTGTTGAACCTGATTTCCTTCTTACCTCATGCCGATCATTACTCTGCTAGTTTTGATGGTTGCAACCCTACTTTCAGAATAGAACTGGGGGGAAAAAGCCTATGTGTCCCTACAAACCCAGAAACCACCTCTATAGCATCCTAAGAGCAGTACACATTCATCCCACTAACCCTGAAGAGGGTGACCTCCTTCATGAATTGCCCCTGTCTGCAAGTGGAGGAAGATGATAAGAACTGGGCATATAACTGGAAGATGCTCTGCCTTTGCTTGAAAAACTGACTCCAAAGTCAGAATCATTCCTAGGGTAGAGAGATGGCTCAGCAGTTAAAAGCATTTACTGCTCTTGCAGAGGACCTAGGTTGAGCTCACAGCATCCACAAGGGAGCTCACAGCCATCTATAACTCCAATACGAGGGAACATGACATCCTCTTTAGGCATACTCAGGGCACACATACATGCATGAGATAAAACAGTCATAACATTAATAGTAAATTTTTAAACGGGGGACTGGAGAGATGACTTGACAGTTAAGAGCACTGGTTGCTCTTCCAGAGGAGTGGGATTCCATTTTTTAGTATTCATATGGTGGCTAACATCCATCTGTAACTCCATTTCCAGGGGACCTAATGTCCTGATGACCTCCCATAGTCTCCACAGCATGTACACATGTGCTGCATAGACATATATGTAGGCAAAATACCCATACACATACAACAAAACTTAAGTTTTTTCACATATTTTGATCATGTTTTCCTCTCCTGAAACTCCTTCCAGATCTTTCCCATGTCCCTACCTACCCAATTCACCATTTCTCTCTCCTCTCTCATTAAAAAAAAAAAAAAAAAATGACCAAAAAAAAAAAAAAAAATGACCAAAAAAAAAAAAAAAAAAAAAAAGTCAAAAAAAAGTGAAAAAAAAAGGCTAAAAGAAAAAAAAAAAAAAAACTAAACCAAAACAACGACAACAAAAAAACCATGGAGATTTATTTTGTGTTGGCCAACTACTCTTGGGTATGGGACCTAGGAGTATAGTTGTTATACCTAGTGACACTCCATTGGGAAAAAAAAAAAAATCTCCCCTTTGCTAGAGCTATGTATTGCAAGCAGCTTCTTTGTAGGGGTGGACGCTTGTCCATTTTCCCACTCAATGCTGGGACCCCATCAGTCTTCAACTTGTGCTGCCCTGTGCATGCTGCCAGAGTCTCTGAGTTCACACATGCATCAGTCCTAGTGTATCCGGAAGATACGTGCTTTGGAGTCATCCACCCCCTGTGCCTTCTACAACTTTTCTGCTTCCTCTTCTGCACAGATCCCTGAACATTGATGGGAGGAGTTTGATAAAGACGTCCCAATTAGGAATAGGTGCTCCAAAGTCCCTCAACTGAGCACATTGTCTAGTGATGAGTGTCTATGTTAATTCCCATCTACTACAGGCTCAGGAAGGTCTCTGTCAATTGGCCTCTTGGGCCAAAAGTCACACATCTCTTCTGTGGAAAAGATTTAATGGAAGGCAAAGCAGTTATGTTTGCCTACTCCTAGAAGCCTCTTGGGAGTCAGCTCTGTTGATGAACCTTCAACATTTAACCTCTCTGTGCCTCAATGTAGCCCATCTTCAAGATGGGTATAATATACTTACTAATAATTAGCTTACAGGATTGCAGTGAGGTCACATCAGGGTTCAAGACCAGAGCTGGTCTACAAGAGCTAGTTCTAGAACAGCCTCCAAAAAGCCACAGAGAAACCCTGTCTGGAAAAAAAAAGAAGAAGGAGGAGGAGGAGGAGGAGGAGGAAAACGTACATAAAACTCGGAATAAAAGACAATTGTAGTGGCTCATGTCTTAATTTAAGTATTTAGGCTGAGGTAAGATTACTGAGTTTCAGGTCAACTGGACTACAGAATGAGACCTTATCATGGAATAATAAGGATCGGGAAAAACAGATAGGCTGAATAGATGTTTTATTCAGGGAGTAGTAACTTACGACAGAGACAGATGAATGCCAGCAGGTTCCTGGTCCCAAGGATACCTCTGGACACCCTCTGTCTCAGCAAGAGAGTGATCCGGGGTCCCTGCCCCAGACCTAGTTCCCCCAGGTCACATGGGCTCCTGTCTCCACCCCCCAATGGGTGTGGTCAGTGCAACAGGTGTGGACAGAGTAAATATCTCACTACAAGATCTTGGTGGGGGGATGTTGTCACACACGTGGCATTTAGTGAGCAGCTAAGATGGGATAGCTGGGTCTGTGTGTTCACTACCATCCCAGGCAGACTCTTCAGTCATCTGTCTCAGCCACTGATGAGATATCCTCGTCCACTTCAAAATGTCAAAGAAACACTGCCCAAGATTTGTCAGCAATGACGCCAGTCAGTTAAAGTCACTCGCAGCCATTGGCTGGATGCTAGGCTATGTGAGCAGAAAGCTGAAACCACCATGGTCAGCTGCTTTTAGTTGCTATCTTAAGATGGAGGGAGTACCTGTCTCTACAAGTCCTGGATGTGTTGCTGTGTTCAGTTGAGCTAAGGCCACCAGGCACCAGGCACCCTGGGACTTTGGAAGATTAAAGATTTTGAATAGATAATTGTATGCACAAGGTCATGACACTTTAAGTGGGTTTGTTTCATTCTCTGCTGTTGATGTCATACATAAACCAGGAAAAGAAAATGTGATTGGGTAAATCAATTACTCAATTTACTTATAAAGTATTGAAAAAAATGTGGTGAAAGACCATATAGATCCTATTGATGTGTAAAACCATAGAATGAAGATTTAATGTGTGTGTTTGTAACCCTTTCTGTCTCTTGAGGACTGCCCTTCCCCAAAGGGTCAGCATTTCACAGATTTAATTTCCCTTGACCAAGAAATAACAGGAAAGAGTCCCCATGTTAAAGTCATGCTCAATGTGGGGACCCTTACCACCCCCCCTCAGATTTCTGATCCTCACTGTTAAAGAGGGCTTAAGGAAGCCTTGTGTGTCTTTCCTCTTCTTGTTTGTAGGCAGAAGAGACTTCCTCTGGGTAGGGAGGCAGTCTGTTAAGTGTAGGGTCAAAGCTTCATACAAGGGATGGGGGACATGGACAAGAGCTCCAAAGCACTGTAAAGCCAGTTGGACAGCTCGCTTCCTTGTGTGGGGAGGAGGGTCAAGGGTCCCTGGGTTTGGGGAGGTCTTCTGGAAGCGGCTGGAGACATACACATTTTCTTTCCCCTTCTGTGACTTTCTCTGTTTCTACTGAAACCAGCATTGTGAGGTTAATCAACATGATCTCTCTCCTGAGGAGGCAGAATGAAAGTGTCTGGAGTGGGCTTTACACACTCCTGCCATCACACACACGAGACTGTCCCTCTTAGATGCCAGAGACAGCCCTGGTGGATACAGATTCCAGCGGAGTCCTTTGCTTATGTCTCCCCAGGAAGTTTCCATGTCCAGTGTGGATCCTGACAACTAGCCATCTTCGGTAAAGTGGGGAGCTAGGGTCCACGGGGAGAAAGGGTCAATCATAGCGGGGTGCCAGGTATAAAATATGAATGCAAGTAATTACTGGATCCTAAACAATATCCAGCTGGTTATAGGTGGCATTATACTTACATTTTTTCATTTCAATAAAAAAGTTAAAAGACCGTGGGCTGGAGAAGGGACTCAATGGGTAAGAATGCCTGCTGCTCTTGCAGAGGACTGGGTTTCAGTTCCCAGCCCTGTCTGACACTTAACATCTGCCTGTGACCCCAGCCCTGGGTGACCGGACACCTCTGGTCTCCTGTATTTACATCCACTCATATGCGTGTACCTACACTCATATGCACATAACCACATGCAGGTATGCATAACTACACACAATCAAAAATAAATCCTTACAAAAGAAGTTGTGTGTGTATGTACATCTGTGCCACACCATAAGTGTGGGAGTTAAAAGGAAACTTCCAGAGTCAGTTCTCTCCTTCTATCACATGGATCTCCAGGCTAGAACTCAGGGTACCAAGTCTAGGGGCACATGCCTTGACCCACTGGGCTACCCCACCAGCCCTACACATTGCAAGAACACTATCCCTTTCAGTTTTGAGAACATAGGACACAACCAGACAAAAGCCATTAGCTGCTTCCAGGTACATCTTTATTAGGAATGAGCCCACCTCACTGGAGATAGAGAAGGAACCTGCAGTTCCATAACAATGAAACATCATCGCAAAACTCAAAGTGTGGATGGAAGGAATTCTTTAGGGCAGTTTTGGAAACCTGGACTTCTTTCACAGACATTCTTGGAAGCAGGGTTTTACAATTTTGCGTTTCATATTTAAATTTCCTGGTAGTCTAACTCAGATAAACACAAAGCTGCTTAGGATTTTCTGGGCAACCATCTTTATAGACAGTGCTGAATGTGACATCTGCTGTGCTGTCTCTGAGCCACAGGGAGAACCAGCTGTGTACAGCTTTTTCATCTGATTTCTCAAAGAGCATCCTCATACAAATGAGAGCTATCTTCTGTGAGCTCTGGGAGGGGCAGGACTGAGCATGCTGACCCAGAGCAGTGATCACTGAAGTGGAATGGGGCTGGGGGTGATGCATGTGTGTGACTTGAAGTTTACAATATCCATCGATTTAGTGACGTTTTATAAAGCCGAGTTCTGCAAAATTATTTCAGCTGACCAGTACTAGCAACGAGCCAGCAACAGGTTCACTGGAGATTTAGACAAACTTGGCTGAGAAACTTGGCTTAGAGGTAGAGACAGACGTGCTGGCACATGAAGAATCTAACTAGTATGGTCTGCTAAGCTTCTTGACTGCACAGGTAAAAGCAAATTGCAACAGTTTTTAGCACTGAAGAAAAGAAGAAATAAAAGCTGTTTTTGTTCAAAATCCCAGTCACCAGGAAGTCCTGACATCTCTGTGATACAGGTCAGCTCTCAGGCACTGGTGTCAGCATGACTGGACAGCTGCTGTCAGCATGGGGTCTGCTGGGTGGGGAAAGAGACAAAGAGCTAGATTTCATATCATAAATAACTCAGCCTCCCCTCCCACACCAGAACACCCAGTCATTTAGAGACATCTGTTACAGGTGGCCTGGCAGGAAAAGGACAGCATAGGACAGGGGAAAGAATGATGCTGGCAGGCTCCATTGTGAAGAGTCTCTCTCTCACACACACATAGCACAGGCGACTCCAGAAGTGGTGTTTCCTTTGTTTCATTCCTAACTCAGCCTGAACTGTTAAACATGTTCTAGAATAGGAGCCACTGGGTTCCACTAACTGGGCTTTTAGTGGTTTAGAACTCAGTGTGGATGAAGAAAGTTTCCCCGAACAGACGATGGTCACCAGCTGTGATATTGGAAATAAGGGATCCAAAGATGTATATTGACAATTTTAGGCCTGGAGTCTCAATTGTATTCTTTTTCAGACTTCCTTCTGTTACTATCCTGAGTGACCACCACAAACCACCAAAAGGATAAATTGTTGATATGTGAAGCTTGCAGCCTCTCAAAGAACTTCTATGTTAAAGAATCATTACTTCCACTGGGAGGCAGAGGCAGGAAGATCTCTGAGAGTTCGAGGCCAGTCTGGTCTACAGAGTGAGTGAGTTTCAGGACAGTCAGGGCTACACAGAGAGACCTTGTTTCAAAAAAAAATACAGCAAAACAAAAGATCATTACTTTCTTCTTCCATAAAAGAGAAACTTGAGTCTTCTGTGTATATGTCCCTGGAGTATGCTAGCTCTCCATGCTAGAGGACACAGACAGGTTTATTCATCAGACCCTAGGCATCCTGGTATTACTATAGCATTGAAGGTCCATTAATGGAAAGCTGTTGCCTCCTAACCAAGAGTGGAGTCTACCTCTCAGTGGAGACATGCCATTGTCTCCTCCTTAAGAGCTGATCCAATTGGCCTGGACCATCACCTGTCCAAATGAACACCACCATCAAGGAGATAGGCCCTTGGTCCTGCCTCAGCTAGATGATGGGACAGACTTAGACTTCTAGGGGAGGCCTTACCCTCTCCATGGAGCAGATGGGAGGAGGTGGGGGGGAGTGGAGGGTTTGGGAGCAAATGAGGAAGGGGGAATTGGGACTGTGATATAAAAAAATTAAAAAAAAAAAAAAAAGAACAAAAAAGGCAGCCCCACCTCAAGCCATGCTAAGGAAACAGGAAGAATAATTACCCCTTTAACGAGATGTTCTTTTCCTTTGTTACTGATCAGTCTCTTGCAGACATGCAACTCTACAGCCTGCCTGTTTCTCTGAATCACCCAGGAGAGCTCAGTGTTTCCTTTTCTTCCGTCTCTGTTCTAAGCAAGCTTCCCCCACTCTCTCTCATTCCTGACTCCCAAGGGCATATTCCTCTTCTGGGCAACTGCCAGGATTTACAACTTGCCCACCCTGAAGGTTCTCCTTTGAATTCTAATAAAATTGCCCTTATGAGTCCACTCTTAAATTCTCTTAAATAAGTAAGGACAAGAACCCCCAGAGGGGAACCTCCATCTTCTCAGCATCACTGGTCCTTCCTAAACAGGTGACCTCCCTTTAGTTTTCCACTGGACCAAAGATCCGATTTGGCATTTGAGAAGTCAGATACAGGTCACATACAAACACAAGAAAAACAAACAAAACACCTTCATTTCATCTTGCACTTAAATCACAACCCTCCTCATGACCTCTGTGCTGTGGCCCTGTCTACATGTCTTCCTTCCTTCCTGCTGTCCCTTTATAAATCTTGTTTCTAACTATCCCTTGGAAGTGCCTTCCTTGCTTCCCAAATCAACCTCCTTCATCTTTAGCTAGTTGAGTCCTTGTCAGGCAGCCCTGTTGAGAAAGAGCCTCCTCTGCTGTCAGCAATGATTTCGTTGTTTGTGATCTGTCTATCTCCAGGGACTGGAAGTTTTTTGTAATCTTTTTGTGTATTTATGTTTAGTACTGTGTCTAGCACAATACGTTTGTTAAAATAAAGGTACATTGAAAGGGTTTCTCTCATTGGTACAATTCAGCCGTCTGTAAAATATAAAATTCATCAATAAGTGCTGTCTCAATTCCTCACATCAACCCAACCCAGAATGTCCTCCTACAGCATAATAGAAAAGGTGGCAGAGGGCCACTGTCTCCTGCTGCCTTGGTCAACACTCACCTGCCTCCCTTCCATTACTGCAGAGCTCCCACCTGCTTCAGGCGGGTCATCAGCTCCCCATTCTGCTGCATGGCAATTAGATCGCTGCATCCACCTATACAGTCTTTACCAATGAAGACCCGAGGAACCTGCAGAAGCAAGTCAGGACAGGTAAGGAGCCTTGTGTGACTTATAATCCTCCCCAGTACTGCCCACCATGCTAAGCTTTACAAATGGTTCTACAATCTTCTGAAGACTCCTTTAAAACAATGCTCTAAGAGTAATAGTCATTAAAAAAAAAAAAGTTACTAGGGCTAGGTTGTAGCTCCGAGGCACAGCTACGGAGCAGGAGTTCAGCCCTTGGTGGGAAAAAGGTAGGAAAAGGTTTTGCAGATTGAGTGAGCCGGGCATTGACAGTGCTTTTCACAAATGATGCAGTGAGAACACCTGAGACTGTACTAATCCCCAGGCACCTGGGAGCACGCCGCTTTTTCAGTGCAGCTGGAAGGTAGGGCTAGGCTTGTTAGACAGTGCATCCCTGTTAGTAAAACACAGGTAAGCTGTCCCCAACCAGAAGACGGTAGTGTGCTGGTTAAGTCTCCTTTAGTCCCTTGCCATTGGTAAAATATTGAACCGCTGAGCTCTAGGTCCAAAGATAGTGATGTGTTCTGGCTTGCTGGCCAGACTGACAAGGTCAATGTACTACTGGAGGCAGTTCCGTTGAATCCACTCCCACTTCTTAGGATCCTGTTTAGACACTCAGAGAGGTGAGGGGGATTTCAGATCCCGCCCCCCCCCCCAGGAAGGAGGACATGCCCTCACTGTGGCCAGAGATGTTATGCGAAGGGTGCCTGGCCATGAAGAAAGGGACTCTGCTAAGTCACCTGAGTGATCAGGAAGTAACAGGCCCTCTGAACACAAGGAGCATACCTGACAGATGGACAGATGGATGGGGCAGGGGGTGGGGGAGGGACACAGAGTGAGCATGCTTTTCAGAGCATCCTGTTTTCCTCGGAAGGTATAGAATGCCAAAGTGAATTATTTAAAACGTGAGGAGGAGAACAGAGGTTGAATTACTGTGGATAAATTCTAGTAGCATTTGTGTGTTTGTTGTTTGTTTATAGAGAAGGGGGCCCAGGGAAAACTAGGATTTAAAAATTATAAAGCCGATAATCAAAACCCTGTGCCACAATCCACATTATATAAGCTATCTCCTTTGCCTGACAATTAGAAAAAACTCCCAGAACTCCTTTCTGGCAGGTGGGCCTGGGCAAGTATCCTTGAACCCCAGGAGAGGGCCTGGCTGCTGCTGAGGGCAGGGTGGAGGTATGGGAAATGTTGTAAAGGGAAAATGGCTACAAGGGGAAAAGTTCAGAGCGATGAGGGAAGAATCCTAAAATCTCCACAGAATGCTGGCCGATGTTTCAGAAGAAAGGAGGTCCCCAAGTCTGAGAGCTTTTCCATCCTATCTCCTCATCCTTGGGGGTGCTCAGTTGAACCCATTACACAGAGCCCTAATGGTTCTGTTGAAGATAATGATTTGTTAAATAAACTTCATCCAAGCTTTAAACAAGGCAACCATGTTATTTATTCTTGAATGTGTGCATCTTCAAAAAGATTCAAGCAATCTTCACTATTCCTATGGCTGTCTACATTTCTGTTTTTCTTCCTGCATGTGTTTTTGAAGCCAAAGGGTAACACTGAATCCTGGATCATGTTCTTTTATTAAAAAAAAAAAAAAAAAAAACTAAGGCAGACCTCTCACTCCCCTGTGCCCTGTGTCCCCTGTGCTGGGGTACAAGCTGGCTGCTTTTTTTTGTTTTTGTTCTGTTTTGTTTTTCCTACGTGAGTTCTGGGGTTTAGTCTAAACTGTTGCTCTCATGCTACGGGGTTAACCAAAAAAAAAAAAAAAAAAAAAAAAGTCTGATACACTGAGGGTTTGAGCTAATCCTAGTGGCAAGAAGGCCATGAAAAGCAAAGGTCAGCTCCTGACAGTAGCTTCCCCCTTGACTAGGAATCAGAATCCTAGTTCTGCTTAAATATGATGAAGATTTCTTCTTTCAACCCCCAATTTTCAGATCCAGACAAAATGAGCCAAGGTCTAGGAGTTTCAATTTGTAAACATTTCCCAGGTGTTGGTTACCTTCCAATCAATGGTCTACACAGAACAGCCCCTGATTTCTCCCAGGGTGGCTGAGCTCCCCCCTCTCCCTCCCTCCCCCCTCTCCCCCTTCCTCCCTCTTCCCCCCCCCCCCATCTCCTTCCAACTCCTATAGGGTCACCTGCCTGAGACAGGCCCTGAAACAATTTGGCCAGTCCCCAGGGTGCAGCTTTTTGTTCCATCTGGCAAGTTTAAGCCTGAAGGAAATTTGCCCTCCCACTCCCATCCCCCACAGTTGGGGCATCAGCAAAGCTGCCTTCAATCTTTCAGGCTGAGGAAGAGAAAGAAACATCTGTCACTCAAACCTCTGGCCCATGCCTCGCCTGGGAGGAAGCTGAGTCAACTACTGCTCAGAGGAGAAAGAACGTTCACTCTAAAACCAAACTGGAAAATGGTGCTCTGGGTTTTCCCAGAATGGGATTTCCCAGCATTCTCTGCAACTTCCTGTGTGTGGAGCCAGAGGCTGACAGTGATTATCTTCCTTGATAACCTTTTTTTTTTTTTTAATTGAGGCAGGGTCCTTGCTCCCCCTGACCTGGGATTACAAGCAGGTTGCCAAGTATGCATGGCTTCTTTTTTGGTTTATGCTTGTGAAGTAAATAATTTATCCACTGAACCATCTTCCCGGCGCCCAGGTCTCCACTTCTGACCTAGGTTGGCCAGGTTTCTTGAGATGTAGCACTGAAAGCTCCTTCAGCACTTTCCCCTTCTGCTACACAGCACTGGCTGCCCTTCTTATCTGAATTCTGTGCGGCCTCAGACCCTGTTTCAGCCCAGACCCTGCCCCTCCTGCAGTCTCTTGTCCCGTGAAAGAAGATTCCCGGAAAGTACACACACATGCACTGAGACTGATGGACTGATTGGAGTGCCAGTGACTGAAGCCTGTGGACTTTTGGGGCCAACTTTACAAACTTGAATGACCTTTATTTAGCCTACTTGCTGTCTTAGTTGGGGATTCTTATTGCAGTGAAGCCACACTATGACCAGGGCAAGTCTATAGTATAAAGAAAACATTTAACTGGGGTGGCTCATTTACAATTGAGAGGTTCAGCCCATTATCATCAGGGTGTGGAGATGGCATCGTGCAGGCAGATGCCAGTGCTGGAGCTAAAGTGCTACATTTTGCAGGCAACAGGAAGTCAAACTGGCTGAAGCTTGCAAAGAGACCTCAAACAAAGCCACATCTCCTAATAGTGCCACTCCCTTTGAGGCCATTTTCTTTCAAATCACATTTGCCCACCTCAGTGTCAGATCTGATGAACACATAAACGTCTTTGGAATATAGTAACTTAACAAAATCCTTCTACCAGTCAGATGCGTACATCCGAGGCCTATCTGCACGGCTGTAACTTGCTTCTTTGATGTCCCTTCCAAGGTTTTAAAAAAATTTGTTTAATTTGGCTGTCTTTATTCTGCCATAATAAAACTTAATCTTTCACTTGAGTCTAGAATAACCCATCTCCTCTCTTCCAGAGTCACATCAAGTCACTCTGAAGCTCCAAATCCAGCAGTGGGCTTGCTCACAGCAAAGCCGGTTTATGAGAGGTCAGAGCCTTCTTAAGGCCTTGGATCCAGCCCTTCTTACTCTAACCCATAGTGTTCCTGTCATGCCAGCCTCCTGACTCCATGGGACACCAGTCATACTCGGGCACGCTAAAGGCAGGTACTAGCCCTTATTTTTTGTCTCCTCCTTCCTCCACCTTGGAGAGCCCCCAATGATTCTTTTTAGACCAATAACCTCTGCCTACACCCTGTCTTCCCTTTCCTAGTTCACTCTTTGTAAGCACGTCACCGCCTCCAAATACACAATTCATTGTATTGTTTGTCCCCATACAAAAGTGCATATTTTAAAAAGTAGGAGTTCTTTCATGGCTGTATTTCCACTGTGCAGAAATGTGTTGATACGTCATAGAAGCTGAAAATTATGTTTTATATCCAGAAAAATCATCTTATGAACATGAAGGAAACTAAGCCTTCTCAGACAAAAATAGAGGCAATTTGCCTCTAATACAGTTGCCCACAAGAGGTGTCCAAAGTTCCATCAGAGAAAGGCAGAGCTGTGGAGAGCAACAGATGAAAGGGCCAGACAGTCTGCCTTGTTAAGCTGAAGGCTGTTTCTATAATCAAGTCCTGCTGAGCTCCTATTGGATACCCGAGCCCTAAGTCATGGAGGGCAAGTGAACAGCAAACTACACTCAATCTCACTGTCCTAGAATGCAAACACATCCCTACCCAGGATCTGGAAGCAGTGAGCTGGAAGCATTTGTGTTTCTCTCCAAAAGGGAAGCATTGAATTTGACTCAAAAACCTATTAGGGATACATACATACATACATACATGTATGTATGTATGTATGTATACATGTATGTATGTATGTATGTATGTATATATCCCTATACATGAATGACCAAGGACCAGCATGAGGGCTCTGAGTTCAGGTCCTCAACAGTCGTGTAAAAACCAGGCATGGCAGTGCACGACACTGGGAGTGGAGTGCAGAGATGGGTGGATCCCACAGGCTCACAGGCTAGCCAGTCTAACCAAAATGGCAAACGTGCAGGTTCAGCGAAAGACCCTGCCTCAAAAACACTAATGTGGAGAGTGATTGAGAAACACATCCCGGAGTCAATCTCTGGTCACCACACACATACACACACACACACACACACACACACACACACACACACACGAATACACACCACACAAACACACATGGATACACCACACACACACACACAAATACACAACACATACACACACACACAAATACACACCACACACAAACACACATGGATACACCACACACACACAAACACAAACACACATGGATACACCACACACACACACACACACAAATACACACCACATACACACACACAGGAATGCATACCACATACACACACACACAGAATACATCACATACACACAGGAATGCACACCACATACACACAAACACACATAAATACACCACACACACACACACGAATATACCACATACACACACGAATACACACCACATACACATGAACACGCATGAATACACTCACACATACACAAACACATACCCCTTTTGAAAATTTAAATTTCAAAGGCCACTATAAAAGAGTGTTGCTTTACAAATCAGTGCAAACATCCATTAAATGAAGATTCTCTTTTTCTCCAGAACAGCATTCTCATTAATCCTGTTGTGGATGGAACCGCCTGCAGATCTTTCACACTATTACTGACTGCTGGCTCCTGCCTCTGCTCTTTCCAGGCTGTAATTAGGCGTATGACCTGAGCATGGGATTGTCTGAGAAGTTCCCAGGTGATTCCATTAGCTAGGGGAATTTGGGAACCACCCTCCAGGAGGACCCATTGTGAGTGCCGGCCAGTGCAGGGGCCTGTAGGAGTTTTCACACTTCTCTGTTCTGTCCACTCTTTGATTGTGTGTCTGCTCCGAGACCTCATGCTATAGCTGTGGTCTGCACTAGCATACAGATTTTTAAAATGAGAATTTCCAAGGCTTTATACCCAGACCACAGAGAAAACCCTGTAAGTCACACTGAACTTCAAATAGTAAATGTGTTGCCTACATTGTCCCCTGAAAGGGCCTGGTGTGACTACCACCCTGGACCTTTCCCTTTGGGTATCAGACTGTCTAAACAGTTTCCCCAGAAACCTGTGCTGGGAAGTCCTGGTGCCAGCCAGTACAGGGACTTGCCTCACAGGAAGGGATTTCACAGTTCTGAGGCCCTTACGGACTAAGTGGACCTGAGGTGACAGCAATGAGCCAACAATGGGCGGGGACCTCCCCTTGATCTGGCCTAAAAACCTCCTGCCTTCTACTTGAACCTAATCCTTAGGTTGAGGTGGCCCACGACAATGAGAACCTTAGGTTTATTTCCCCAGAATCCATAGAAAAAGTCCCAGGGTTGGGAGGCTGGCATGGGAGGACCCAGGGACTTTCTGGCCACCAACTGTGCAGCCCAACCTGTGAACTCCAGATTCATCGAGGGACCTTGTCTCAAGTGATTGATGATTGAGAGTGATGGAAGAAGCCACCCAAAGTTAACCTCTGGCCTGTCTCACATTCGCCATAAACTTTATGGATCTGGGAGTCACATGGACCTTTTTATTCATCTTCCCAGGGAAGCCCCATTGAAAAAGTTTCTTTCTTCCACTTTTCACTGTCACGTGTCTCTTTAATTGGTATTGGAGGAAGGTGGCCAAGATTCTTGGCTTGTTGGGCCTGCCAGATCCTAGGCTTTGTCCCCCAGCACTCCAGTGAGACGCGCTGGCCCTTCCAGCACCAGAGTATGTTAGGCTGGGCATCCCACCAGCAGCCCAGGCACAAAGAAATCCTTTTCTGGGGGAATTAGAGGTTCTTAGAGAGCCAAACAGTGCATTTGCGGGAACAGATCTCTCGAGTGCCACTCTGATCCTGCAGCCCCTGGTCACGAACTCCAAGGCAAGAAACCGTGGGATCATTTGGAAAGTTACTGCAATGATAACCAGGCCCGGACAGCAGCAGGCCTGAAATGTCCAATAATTAAGGCAGCACAAGGGGCGACTGGGAGGGGAGGATTTCTTTTTCTAGTGAGTGGGGTAGGTAACAATGAAGGTACCAGGCGATGAAGGAAGCCTAAAGAAAAGGAAAGGATCACAAACCCCTCCAAGACACATGTAGAGGGAAGACAAGTTCTTAACAAAAAAGCTGAAGGTCATTGTCATACCCAGCCTCGCAGCTGCCTCCTGCCTTGCCTTCCTGCCTGTCAGATGAGTACTGTCAATTCAAAATAGTGCTTCAGACAAAGCCTCCAGACAAAGGGCAGTTAATTGCCTTCAGCTCAGCGGCCAGGCCCATGGGCCCCTCACCACACATCTCTGTACTGCCTTCTCACCCTCCAAGGCAGACTGCGGCCTGCTCATCTGACCAGTGTCTTCCCTCGGGTCCCTCCCCCACACCCTGCAAAGCCCTCTGGATGTTCTGAAGCACAGAGTCCTGGCAGTGGCGGCCTAGAAAAAACAGGGATATCTGCATAGCTCTGAAAGGAAACAGTGACCCTTGAGGCTTTCCTTAGCATTTGAACACACTCACTGTTCTCGCTCCGGTGAGCTGTTGTAAATAATCTTGGATTTCGTTGGTGTTGTTGGTGGCTGTGATATCCACGAATTCCAGAAGCCCTGGTCTGAAAGGCAGTTGACTGAGGATTTCTAGGGTCTTCTGGCAGTATGGGCAGGTGGGCTTGATGAACACGACCACCTTCCCAGGCTGGATCTTGCAGTTCACAAACTCCTGAGCCATGCTGTCAGGCTGCAGCTTCCCCGGGTGGACCGGTGCTCAGTTGAAGGTACGGGTTGATATAAAAAACGTGGCTTAGCCACAGCTCTCATTTAATGAGGAACCTCCTTGGAGGAGGAGTTATCGAGCAGGATGATTCAGTTTTAAAGGGCCAGCCCCAAAGTTAATTCATTCCGGTGTGATTCACCAGTTACTAGGCCTAGGAATGCACATTTGCTGTTTAATCCATAATAGCACAGGTCAGGCTGTCTTTGTCCTCTCCACCTTTGGGAATGCCTGTCCAATAGCAGGGATCTGAGCTAAGTCACCCTCAAGGATAGCAGACACTGCCCTGACCAGCTTCTAAGAGGAAGAGGCCAGGACCTCTTAGAGCAAATTCTCTTTTGGAGACAAGGTTACTTTTAATAAAGCAAACACAATCACTCAGAAAAGCTTTGGCACTTCATAGAAGTGGGGTGGAGGTGGTAGTTGGCCACTGGGGGATGCCCCTGTGCTTTGTTCAGCCTATAAGGTGCATGTTTGTTGCATGATTAGTAGAGCAGGTTCTTGGCATGTAAAGTTATCTGGACTTCTGTCTGAGCAGTGGGTGAACAGTCCTGAGGCCATACCTTTCCACAGCGTAGACTGTGACTGACCACACTTTGTCACAGGGCCTGCCTTTGATACACCAGTCTCAACTCAAAAACCTTAGCTTGGTGACCTTTGAACAGTAGTGTGGTAAGGAAACAAATTCCCACATAACCCCTGACCTCAAACTCCAAGCAGAATGAGGGTCAGGTTTTCCTGCCTGACTTGTTTTCACAGTGAGCCAAGGAGGCAGGGGCTAAAGTTAGATAAGCAATTCAAAGAGACAACTCTCATCAGACTAAATAGCCTTTCCAAGCACAAGGCAAGTGTCCCACTAGAACCAGAGAGTTTTATAGGAGGCAAGGCTAGAGCTGTGTCATGTTGGTGGCTCAGGTGCATATTGTGACAAGGGAAAGAAGATTAACTCCAGAGGCCGATTTCTTTGTGACTCTCATTGATACCAAAACCAAAGGGCAAAATAACAGTCAAATAGCCACATTTAGATCACACCAGAGAAGTGTGGCATTGCTGCACGATGGAGGTGACTGGTCCATGGCAGGGCTGGAGGCCTCGAAACCCATAGCTTAGCTTCCCACACCTCCAGTTCTTTTCACCTTAGCAACCTAATGCCAGTCCCTGCCAGAGGCCTCTTGAGCCCCAGATGTCTGCAGGGCTCTTGCTGTTCCCATGACCTTGGGGCATGAGCGCATGGTACAGACTTGTTTCTAGAGTCTTCTCAGCACCTGCCTGGGCTTTCCCTTCCTGCAGCCCCCTTTCCTACGAATTGGACTGGTCTGGCTGAGAACCAGGCTGACCTCCCATCTCCTGCAAGCCCACCCTCTGCCCTTCCCTGATATTTGCCACCTGTGCTTTCCTTGCCCCCTCCTTGCTAATTACCTTGCAACCTGACCCTCCTTATCACCTTCTGCCAAAATGCTTCTTCTTGCACAGCATCCTGGGACCAGGTGTTCAGACCTGCCTAACGAAGGCATCTGAGTGTGATACAGCCTGTGCAGAGCCATGAAACCTCCCAAGAGTCTTATCTGTACAGTCACATGGGGCTTGGAGTCCCAAACTACCCCTAATTCCAAACTCCAGACAGGCAAGCCTCTTTTTCTGTCAATGCTATATCTCCAGTTTTACAATGTCTGATTTGGAGTCTACCATATTTACCTCAAGTCTTATAAAGGATAATATGTGGATTCAGGGAAACTCTATTGTCTGTCCTGAAGCTCAACCCAAGACTAATATCTAAAACCGTGAGACGAACAGGGTTAAAGCCCAAGCATGTGTTTTCTGTGAGACTCAGGACACGGCAGATAATGTGGCACAGGCAGGGTGCACTCTTTATTTCTCAGAAAACTTGTGGCTTCAGCTCAGTGGGGAGAAAATGTGCTGACAGGATCCTCTGCTATGTTGGTGCACAGGCCCGAGGCGTTGGCACTGCAGATCAGTGCAGACCTGCAGAGACCACAGGTGTTTCAGGTGGGGCCTGCAGTGAGGCCTGTCCAAAGAGCCGGGGGCCCAGAGAGGGTGTGTATGTGCATAGGAGCAGGTGTGGGCTCTCTTTAACCCCTATGACACCAAGGATCTTCCAGACAAGTGGGGAGTGCCCTCACTCATTAGGGGAGAGGCCAAGTTCCTGTGCAGATGACTGACAACAAGCCGGTGTGCTCTGTGGGAATATGTGCTCTTGCAGTGGTTGTGGCCCATGGGCTCATGAGGGCCAAACAGTTTGGCCAGGAACTTCACCTGTGTGCATGTGATATGCTGGGCAGAATCTTTCCCACATGGGGATCCAGCTATCACTCTCTGATGATGAATATTGCATTTGTTTTCCTTGTCTGGGCCTCTCTTCCAAGTCTCAGGGGCGCAGCTGCTGAGAAGTCCCACCTGAGTCCTCCTTCAACACTGGGTTAGTGCGCAAGCTGCCAGCTATTGTGAAGACGTATTGCCTTGACTGTGTAATAAAAAAGCTGGACGGCCAATAGCTAGGCAGGAGAGTATAGACGGGACTTCCAGGCAGAGACTGCCAGATGTGGAGGGAGCAGAATGGACAGTGTGGAGATAAGGAGTCTCATGGAAGAATGTAGATGTGAAAATATGGATTAAGTTATAAGAACTAGTTAGAAACAAGCCTAAGCCAAGGCTGAGCCTTCATGATTAATAATAAGTCTCTGTGTCGTTATGTATGAGCTGGTGACCCTAAGAAAAATGTGACTACCCCGCTTTCTCCTGTACTTTCTTATCTTCCTTTAAGTACTGTCCTCTATCCTGTGGCTAGGGCAGAAAGTTGGAGGCATCTTTACTCCCCTTTGCTTTTATTTACACAAAATAGCCAAGCTGCCCTAGGTCAGCCTCCCAGGACTCGCCGGGTTCTGAACACCTATTTCTGCTGCATGCCACACTATTGTTAGGGGCCCAGGCTTCTGTTACCTCACTTGATCTCCTTACCATGGCCTCCCAGCCTGCTCTCTGGTGCTGCGCAGTCTTTAGAAATGCCAGCACTACCTTGTGCTCTCAAAGGCTCTGGGTTTCTTTAGATTCCCTGGGGAGACACTTTGCATGACTGGCCCTCCCTGGGTCCTAAGATTCCTTCTGCCCTTCCCCTATTTCAGCTCTCGCCCAGCTCCCCGGGCTCTGGGTGTCCCACACTCCCATTTTCTTAGCTGTTAAATGTCTGCTCGTTCATGAGTCCCAAATCCAGCTCCTCTGGGAGGTACGCCAGAACAGACACTACTCTCCCTACTGCTAAGCCCACATGATAAGCCGTGCCCTGACCATCATATGTCAGCGGGTTTTCTATTATTTACATTTATTTTTTATGAGTACAGATACATTGCTTACATGTGTGTCTATACACCACATGCATACTTGGTGTCCATGGAAGCCAGAAGTGGGTGTGGAATACTAAAAAACTGGAGTTACAGACTGTCATGAGCCAGTCTGAGAAATCAAACCTAGGGCCTGTGGAAGAGTAGCCAGTGCCCTTAACCTGTGAATCACCTGCCCAGCCCCATTATTGGTCTTTTAAAATAATTTTCTGTCATCTATAAAGTCCGTTGAGAACAGGAAGAAAACACGCATTCATCCTTGCACTATCCGAGCACTTGGGTCCCTATCTGTCTATCCCTGAACGCATGCAGTCAATATTTATCAATCACTCTGGGCCAGACACACAGATCCTCGTATATAATTGCATCCTTGGGAATTTTTGGGAAAATGGGGCATACAGACATAGAAAATGGACACAAAATGATCAAGTATGTGGGATGGCACAATGGCGGTATGTAAGGATGCCAAATGGGAGCAGTTAGGGAAAGACCCCCTAACAAAAAGGAGCCATTTATGAATATTTACATGTGTAACTGTAAGGCAGCAGAGTAATTAGTGAGCACAGATGAGCTCTAAGAAGTGACAGGAATGGTTTGGCACATAGAACTCTTATGAAGTCTACCCAAGCTCCCTCTGGAACCAGTCTGGACTCTCACAGACTGATCTGGTACTAGGGGCACCTCAGAGGCTGGAAGATCGCATGGCTTACTTGCTAGCCACAGCTGCCCTTTAGGCATGCTGTTGGAGCCTTCAGGTGAGTCAGCACGTTACCAGATGCAGGAAGGTTTGGGTTTGTGGCTGTGCCCTCTGTGGAATGCCGTCTGGTACTCCACAGGTCTGAATACAGAGGATCGTTAACTTTGCCCTGAATCTCTCAGAGCATTTCCTCACCTTCTACCTGTTTGCTGAACCCTTACTATGTGCTGACAGTGTGCCACACTTACCAGTAAGAACTTAGGAAAAGCAGTGTCCATGCTCACAGCAACTTTGATGGGCAGGTCCAGAACTAATTGAATAAAAAAGGGCCCTTGCCTGGGAGGTTATGCACTTCAACCAAGGCCAGGGGCACCAACTGCTTCCAAAAGCCTCTGCCTCACATTTAGACAGTTTCTAAGATCCAGGTTCAATTTGGACATGGAATCTTAAGTTACCACAAATGACCCTCCAGTGGTTTCTTACTCCATGTAGGTTAGAGGCCCTTTATCTGTGGTCTCTATGGGTGTTTCTAAGAACTTAGTGTCTTATCATTGCTGCTGAGTTCAAAGAAGGGGAGTAGTCCCAAACACAATCATACCAGGTCAAACAATCTAAAGCCTTCTAGATAGGGAATTCCTTTACTGGAGAATCCAATAGAGAAGACAGATTTCATTTCTCTCCTTATCCAGCCCTTGGTGCTGAGGTAGGATATCCCACAGGTTATCATCCAGTTACTGTTGTGGAATATTAGTTGAAGACGTGTTACGTTTCTTTATGCTGTGAAACATTTGTTTAATGATGAAAAGATGTGTTACATTTCTTTTTTGTTACATTTGTTTAGCTCTGTGAAGCTGTGTTACTTTGCCTGTCTAAAACACCTGATTGGTCTGTTAAAGAGCTGAATGTCTAGTAGGTAGGCAGGAGAAAGGAACAGGAAAGGCTGTCAGGCAGAGAATAAAT